ATCAGTGTATGGTATTTATCTGTATATATACTACGCTTGTTGTGGGCATCTGCGTGTTAAATAAATAAATAACATAAAACCATAAAATTGAACAAGTTCAAATAGAAATAATAAGATAACCATTTAAAACTAAATTCAATAATTTCGTGGTCCGCTTGACCAATTAATTAAGGTTCTAGTTGAGATAAAAAAGTCAATGGCACGAGCAGGTTTCGAACCCACGATCTTCGGCTTGATACGCCGCTGCTCTACCACTTGAGCTATCGTGACCTATTTCTACTCACTCAAAGTGTTTGTCTTCTGTGTAATTGTGCCATTTTGCGTGTCGTGTCGAGAGTTCCAGTGAGATTTTGCTATTTTGTGTTTATATACGTTACATTTTGAAGGGATGGGGAAGATTGTCGCCTTCGTCGGCTCTTTTCACCTCAAAGAAGCCGACGCCTTATACAAAAATGTCTTTTCTATATCGATATCTATACGACACGAAAGAATGGCACAATTACACAGAAGACAAACACTTTGATTGAATATATAAAAAATATATTTTGCATTATATAAATTCACTTTTCCACATCCAAAATGTAATTGTTATATGTAAACAATGTTTGTAAATCCCAGGCCCTGAAGATGATCTCAATAAAGATCGAAACGTTGGAGCGATAAAGAAAATGTTTTTCTGAAACCTACATCACACCAGAACCGCATCTCACGATTTCTAAATAAAGTTATATTAATTACAACATTCTTATTTTAATCTAAACCAAATTAAACGAGATCAAAAATTCTTAAGTTTTTATAAAATTTATTTGATTATGATGGTCAAGAAGAAAATTTATGAGAAACACAGAAATAAGTTTTTATTTAAAATGTTTAACAAACAATTTATTACATGGTTGGGCTCATAAAATTTAAATAAAAATTTGTTATATGGTTATGCTCATAAAATTACACCATTTTCGTCGAATAGCGTCAAAATAGGACACTTATATTTTTTGTAGTTTATTTCAAACTAAGTATATATAATTTTGTCATTACATTAATTACAACAATCCTATTTTAATGTAAACCAAATTAAACGAGATCAAAAATTCATAAGTTTTTATAAAATTTATTTCATTACGATGGACAAGAAGAAAATTGATCAAAACACCGGAATAACTTTGTTTAAAACAATTAAGTTTAACAAACAATTTTTTACATGGTTGGGCTCATAAAATTACACCATTTTCGTCGAATAGCGTCAGAATAGGACATTTATATTTTTGTAGTTTATTTCAAACTAAGTATATATAATTTTGTCATTATGTTAATTACATCATTCCTATGCTAATGTAAACCATATTAATCTAGATCAAAAATTCATGTTTTTATAAAAATTGTTTTTGAATTTGAAGGTTTTGCTCAAAATAGTGCTTTAAGAACAAAAGAGACGTGGCGATTGTGATATACACTGTGTAACCGTACGTGGCGTGCGCTTGCGTGAATGTGCGTCTACCAAAACGTGGCTAGGCGTCGGGTCGCATCGGGTAGCGTCGTATGGCATCGCATAGCGTGTGTTCCCTGTTTAACTGTTGAAATTTTTCTAAATATTCCTATACTCTATATACTCAAACTTGCGTGAGCAACACGCCATTTAACAACATACACCTTCCAAGTAACACAAAATTTTACGGTTTCTTTAAATTCTTCTTCTATTATTATACCTATGGATATTTTTTTGATCTATCGCGAAAAATAATTAATAACCTGGGTTTTGTTATAAATAAAACACAAAAACTTGAAGTACAAAAGCGCATTTGTATACACAGGGATTATTAAAAAAAAATTCGCTTCTTTCATCTTGTGTCCCCCTGCGGCAAAGGGGGTGACATGAGATTTGCTTCCCCTCAAAGGACTACTTCATTGTGATGTGGTTCCAACAAATAACGGAGTTAGAACCCGGCTAGAACGCTTTCCCTTTTATGCTTGAGGTGGCCGTATAAGTCGTTCAATCATTGGGTGTCAATATTTGAACGGAGCTTTTTACTGAGGCAAACACTCCCACTGTGTCACCATAGCGGGGTGGGCTTTCTCCCAGATTGCCGAAGGGACGAGACCGGGAGGAGAATTGGATCCGCACTTTTTTCCCGTTTAGGCAAATCGGTTTGGCTAATAGACATGATTAGAAACCATTCGACGACGATTCCTAGGCTATCGCGGATTTGTAAATCAAGGCCCGGATTGAATTCCATTCGAAAACCTCTTCCCGTTACGACAACGCTAAAAAAATCAAATTTACTACCTAATCGAATGAGATCGCTTATCCTTAATACTGACAGTGTTTTTATGGCTACTAATGAAAAGTGCTGCAGAGTAATGAACCTGCAGTTCGCTTGTTTATGATCATCCGGGTCGTTTTATGACTGGTCTGTCTGTTTTCCCGTGTTTGTCCATTTCTATGCGATTCCGATGTTATCGCAGATTTGGGATAAAGGCTGACCCAGACATATAATGATTGCGTCCCACTTGGAAATAACCGAACGACCGGATTATGCTTCGACATCTACTTAATTTTAATGACGCAACGTTGGGTCAAACTTCGTGAAACTTTACGTACTATTAAAACATTTCTTTCTTAATGCATGGACTGAAGTAAAACCAACAAAATTGTAGTGAAACTATTTTTGTTTTGTTTTTTATTTTTATTACAAGAAATGGTGGATTTTAGAACATACAAAAAATGTCCTATTTCCGTACATGCGCCCCATTTTCTCATAAAGCGTAACACCTAAAAAGCCAAGTTTTTGCTACATTATTATAACACATAGACAAGAGAAAATTTAATTTTTCTGAAAAAAAAACTTGGAATTTGAGAAAATAGTGCTTTTCTGGTTTAGTTTTTTCCTCAACTGCTGTTACTTAAGAAAACCTTTTTCAGTCTTTAATAGTACCAAGTACTTACAAAGAAAAAAAGCAATCAATAATTGGGGGGAGTGTGTGTCCGAGAGGATCGAAGTCACAATAGCTCAAGTGGGAGAGCAGTGGCGTCTTTAGGCGAAGGTCGTGGGTTCGAATCCCGCTTGTGACACTAGCTTTTTTATCTCAACTAATACCTTAATTAAAGATTCATTAATTGAATGAAGTTATTTGGTCAATCGGACCACGAAATATAATGAGTTAATCAATAATGTCAAATAATTTTAGAGAACAGTTATCTAAATATTGAAAAAAACAACTTTCCAGAAAACGCGAACGTTTGAGAGATAGAGGTTTATATGTGTAAAAAAATAAAACCAAAAATATTAAAGTAGTTTATAAATTAGAAAGCAAAATATAGACAAAATATTTTTTATAGAAAAAAAGGGGAATTGGCTGTGCCCTTGGCCTGCGGAAGCTGGATTTAAATGGGAAAAGGGCATATTTTCTATGTTGCGCATAGGGCATACCAAGGCATACCATCTCGTCTCACCCACCCTGGGAGTCATGGCCCACTTTATGTGGAACCACGGCAACAGTGGGTGGTATAGTGTGGTTCGAGACTCGAGACCCCGAAACGGCTCACATCGCGTTCTCATCGACGGCCCTTTTTTCTCATTCCGAGCTCCTTCATTCTATCCTGTGACCCCTCCTAACCCATGGTTACAAGGGGGGTATTCGGGCACAGAATAAAGGTGCAGCCCAGAGAGCGTGGCAACCTCTCTAAAGCACAAGCTGTACTCGTGTCGGCCTAAGGGTCGGCATGGGCGGCGGGTGCCTTAGCAGAGTCACACGAGGGCCAGTGCACTAGATCCTGTCTGCAAAGACGGGGGAGGCTGTATGGCCATCTGTACCACGGGGTGACTGAAAAGTTCCAAAACCAGCCCTAGTCACACTGGGAAAGGTTTCGTGGTGGTGCGTGGTGACGCCCCTGGCGGGAACTTAGACAGAGGCTGCCTTCTATTTGTGACCTTCGTGAAGCTTGCGTATGACCAACGTACAACCCCCCGGCCTCACGGGAGACGTTGCGACCGGACGACAGCATGTAAGCGTTGAGGACGTAATGATCATGCTACAGTCCCTCGAATGCGTAAGTAAGCGAATGGAAGCGGGTAGTGAGTCGGTGTCTTTGACTCGAGTATGCTTTGCATTGTTGTGCGTATGACCGGCGTGGTGCCCTTGGGGAAGCGAAGGATCGGACCACCTAGGCTGAGCTTATGGCATCCCTCGAATGCGCATAGCAGGTGTAGGCTGAGCTTGATAAGAGACTTTACGTAGGCGGTGCTCATCTAGGGGGTGGGTAGCAATTCCACTTTAAACTAAAACCGCTGCCGGTGGCCTTCTCTAACTAGTGAGTACGCGGTGGGGGGGACGGGCCGATGTATTTCGGCCTGTTAGCACCTCGCGTGCGGCATACGACCCGATGCACAATGCGGGCCCGACCATTCGGAGTGGACAAGAAGAGAGCGTGGTTATACCGGCTCTTAGGGGCTGGGAAACTTCTACCCCAACGCTGCGGCGGTAACACCGTTCCGTCGTATGCGGAAGTGCGTCAGCTCTCATCTTGAGAATCAAAACTTCCGATAAGGCCGAATTGGCCAGGTGCGGACGTTAAAGATCCTCTTGTCTTGTTGACGATGAGTACTCGGGAACACAACCCCGAATGACCTATGCTCAACAAAAACTGCAAACACAGATTGCTCTCGGAGCCATGAACACTTTTAATTGTATATAAATCGTTGTACCTTCACGTATATGATATGCGTTATTTATCGGAACGAATGTATTTATTTGCATGAATGGAGGGGCTTGGAAAATGTATAATAAGTTAGATTACTTGAAAGACCACATACTCCAATAATGCCAAACCAGTCCATTGCAACTAACTACATTTCAATCTAAATTTCGCCACATGTTTTTCAAAAAAGATTATTTTTAATATTTTAAACTTTTAAATAAACTAACATTTTTTAAAATTAAGAGTAAATAGATTTTCTAAGGTTTTAAAAACTCGTACTCCTGCTCTAATTGTAGGTTAAACTCACCTTGCACAGTCTTTCAGAGCTAGTCGAACCGACAGAGTGGCCGACTAATTTGTTAAGTGTTTCCTCGAGATTCTGATAGATTCCTCAAGCTGACAATTAGCTAAATTGAAATCTGCGGTGGCTGGCAAGATTCCATTTTCCCCTTCGTCGATTGAAACCAATTTTCACGATATTTCCCCAAGACGTCGCCTTATTCCGGAATGAGACGTTGGTTTATTTCGGTTTAATTTATACCTAGGCGATGAACAAATACGCGAGATAATAATAAAATGAAATAAATTCGGGTTAAATAAATGTAAAATGTGGCTATAGTAGTGGCATGTAAAGTAAACAAACGGAAATTTATATTCATTTTGTATCCTTGATAAACCATCTAAATCAATGTTTTTGAAAAACATAAAATAAACAGAACCAAAGAAAAAATGACAAAAAGTAAAGTAAATCATAATATATTAAAGTATATAAGTAAAGTAAACGTAATATATTTTTAGTAAGATAATTTGATGAAGTTTGGTATATACACAGACGCTAAGTTAAGATAGATAGAGAGATAAAGAAATAAGAGATAAAACTGTAGGTAGATAGAGTGAGATATACAAAGATAAAATGGTAGGTGAATAGAGATATCCTTAGATCAAAAGTTAGATATATTCGTACACACTAAAGTTACGTAAATGGATAGATAGATAGAGGTATAGAAAGATAATAAATTTATTGTAAAGATAATGTAAAATGTATATATATATATANGAGAGAGAGAGAGAGAGAGAGAGAGAGAGAGAGAGAGAGAGAGAGAGAGAGAGTTAGGAAAGGAAATTATAGGTAAATTTCCGTTATATATGTATATATTATACAGGGTGGCCACATCGATTCAGCCACACTTCCAGATCTTTTAGGAAATTGAACGCTGAGTAAAAAAGGTCCTACGAGCCTGTGTCCGCAAACCCTTCAGTTCCGAGCTACAGCCAACAAACCATGAAAACCACGTTTTTTGACCTTATTCGTGAACTTGTTAGTAAACCGTTAGCCTGACGGTAAAACTGCTCGAAACAACATCTGTAGAGGATTAATTTCTGCGTCGAATGAGAGTAAATCCAGCCTTATCGGCCGAAAATTTCATTTTTGGTGATTTTTCGAAGTTAGGAGGTTAAGGGGTCACAAAATTCACCATTTCTGACATTTTTATCCAAAATTCACAACTTGAACACCCTATCAAAAAATTCTCCGTTACAAAGCTCCAAACTCCGCTCACTATCGCACTAGCAATGCAGAAATTGTCGCTATTTTTCGCTCAAGCTATTGTAATGGTTTATTACAATAAATAAAATGTAATGTACATTAAAGGAAGCGGACACTTTCTAAAATTGTTAAGTAAGCCGTTCAAATTTTTCGTACATTATTTCATTCAGTAGGGGGTACTAATCAGAAAACAGTAACATTCTATTTGGGTGAAAAGCAGTAAATTAGCCAAAATTCGAATGTTTCATGAATCGGACTGGGGTTGGTCTAATGTGACGGAGAATTCGATCACCAACAAACGAGGTTTGTAACGAAGAATTTTTTGATAGGGTGTTCAAGTTGTGAATTTTCGATAAAAATGTCAGAAATGGTGAATTTTGTGTACCTCTTCCCCTCCTAACTTCGAAAAATCGCCAAAAATGAAATTTTCGGCCGATAAGGCTGGTTTTAATCTCATTCGACCCAGACATTAATGTGTGGGGATTAGTGACGGTTAATCGATATTTATTTAGAAATCGTGAGATGCGGCCTGGTGTGATGTAGGTTTCAGAAAAACATTTTCTTTATCGTGCCAACGTTTCGATCTTTATTGAGATCATCTTCAGGGACTGGGATTTACAGACCCAGACATTAATCCTCTACAGATGTTGTTTCGACTCTCTCTCTCTGACTCGTTCTCTCTCTTTCCCTTTATCTGTCTATCTACCTATCCGTATTTTAATATATTTTTCTATGCCTATTAATATATATATATATATATATATATATATATATATATATATATATATATAATAACCAAAACACAATAATAATACAAAAAAATAAATGAAATAATACAAATACATTTATTACAGACATAGCACTAGATATATAAATAGAGAGAAATTTATACAGTCAGAAATAGAGAAAGGTACAATGTCATACAGACAGAAAATGTGATTATACTGGTGGCATATCGATTTACAGACAGATATGTATTCATTTTCCATCCTTTATAAACAAACTATATCAATATTCATCACAAATATAAAAAAACACATCCACAAAAAATTGACACTGAATTAAAGAAAATCGTTATATATTTTTAGTAAAATCTATTTGATAAAAAGATATTGCAAGCATGATGAAAATCAAAGGAAATCTTTTGAAGTCACGCGGAATGCTGTACTTGATGAGCCATGATAATTTTTTTGTTGTAAAGACTTGTTATATTGGAATATTTTTTCTTTACTCTCGGTTTGATGAAATTTTATTTTCTTATCCTAATAACTCATCTTGTTATTCAAAGATCCTGCCTCTTTTTGTTTATAATCGCATATTTTAAATATACAATTTACAATCTTATTTAATTTAATTCAGTTGAAAAAAAATCAAACCTTCTTAAGTAATTATTTGATGTAAGAGCTGAGAGCCTATTTTCCAAGATAAGACGTATAACATCAATACTTGATATATTACCATATCTAAGTTGGGAAACGTAGAAGGGCTCTTAGAAATTATTTGCAGAGGATTGGAAAGGACTCTTTATATCCGAAGGGCCGGCTTTCTTTAAGTAAAGAGCGTGAAGAAACCGAGGAGCCGAGGGCTCTTCATAAATCATTCCCTCCTTGATGTACAGGCGGGCATCATCACTCTACAGCTGTTCAACCCTCATCCCCTACAATAACATATAACAAAAAAAAAAGAAAAAAGAAAAAAAAGACCACTGCAGCATCTTTATCAATCTTCTTTAGTCTACCGCTCTACAAGCATTAAGACTCGTTTCCTCTCGCCTGAAGTCAAAATTCATAAAACTTACTTTATCACATTGACTTTTTGCCCGATAAATAATCATAAATACCAAAACGATCAGAAAAGAACACAAACAATAAACATAAAATATTGATAAGTTTGGTAGAGAAGAGAAAATTTGAAAAAGTCATTATTTGTATTTTTTTCTTTTTGACAGTGTGTTTATTAAAAATCTATCAATTCATTTGGTCTATTTAATTATTGAACTAATGACGAGTATTTTCTTTTCGCCTCTTCTTGAACACAAACAAACAGAACATATAAATTCGCGCATTCATTTTACCTTATGTCATTCAATTGATTAAGGTTTTTAGTTGAGATAAAAAAGACAGTGTCAGGAGCGGGATTCGAACCCACGACCTTCGGCTTGATACGCCGCTACTTTACCACTTGAGCTATCGTGACCTCGATCCACTCGGGCACTAACTTCCCATCTCAACTCCACCTTTTGAATTTTCCCTTCTTTTTGCCATTTTTCATCCCGCTCGTGACATTGTCTTTTTTATCTCAACTAAAAACCTTAATTAATTGAATGATATTACTTGGTCAAGCGGACCACGAAAACTAGTAAACTTACGTCATTAACTATTTTAAGATCTTGAAATGCGGTCCGGTGTGATGTAGGCTTTAGAAAAACATTTTTTTTAACGTGCCAACGTTTCGATCTTTACTGAGATCATCTTCAGGGCCTGGGATTTATAAACATTGTTTAAGTTATACAAATATAAGTAGGAAGTGAAAAAAATGAATTTATACAACGCTAGAAATTTTAGACTGAAGCAAAGCATTTGTGCTCAATCATAGATTTTCTTTTATGAAAATTGGACTCTTAAGGGCAATATATTTTTCCCTTGCAGAATCCATATAAGCCTATGGTATTGTTTCCTGGGGAGGTATTAAAAATGCTACACTAAGACTCTGGATGTAACTATAAACTCACTTCTTAAAATTAATTTACCTAAACCGTATAGATATAAAACGAAAAAATTGTACAGTGAACTTAAAGTAATGAATCTATACCAGATCTTTCTTAAATATTTATGTATATACAGGGTGAATTGCTACTCGTGCTACAAACTTCTCCAGTAGATTCTTCACCCTAAAATGAACAAAAAAGTTCATATTGTCCATGGTCCGATTCTCAACCATTTCAGAGTAATTTCGCTTTTTATCGATTTTGAAAGATATCACGTCCTGGCGTCGGAAAATCGTGATATCTTTTAATCTAAACATTTCTCTGAAAATCTAATAGCACCGTTGAAATTCCCGTTAATTTTTCAATAAGAAGATGACGGTGGCAAAATGTTTGGGCTAATTTTTTGTGTTTTATTTCAGCCAGAACTACAAAAAGAGTGGAAAATTGTGTAAATCGGAAAGTGTATAAAGTAATCCAGAGTTTCTAATTTTAGTCTCAGAAGGCAGCAAATTTGAGGAAAACTACCTGATTTAATAACGCTTCCAACGCACTCGTCATTTTCTTATTTAGTGGTTGTGAGACCAAGATGTTGATGACAAAAAGAGAAAAAATGGTGGTTCAAGGATTGCTAATGTTTGAGAGTGACTTGCTACTCGTGCTACAAACTTCACCAGTAGATTCTTGACCCTAAAATGAACAAAAAAGTTCATATTGACCATGGTCCGATTCTCAACCATTTCAGAGTAATTTCGCTTTTTATCGATTTTGAAAGATATCACGTCCTGGCGTCGGAAAATCGTGATATCTTTTAATCTAAACATTTCTCTTAAAATCTATAAGCACCGTTGAAATCCCCGTTAATTTTTCAATAAGAAGATGAAGGTGGCAAAACGTTTGGGTCTTTCTTCCTTGACCTTCTAGCTGTTTGTAAACTTCTTAAGCATTACATACTAAATGGGCATTAAATTAAATTAAAAAATTTCAATGGAATTATGATTTTGATTCTCTCTAAAAATTAACGGGGATTTCAACGGTGCTTATAGATTTTAAGAGAAATGTTTAGATTAAAAGATATCACGATTTTCCGACGCCAGGACGTGATATCTTTCAAAATCGATAAAAAGCGAAATTACTCTGAAATGGTTGAGAATCGGACCATGGACAATATGAACTTTTTTGTTCATTTTAGGGTCAAGAATCTACTGGTGAAGTTTGTAGCACGTGTAGCAATTCACCCTGTATATATATATATATATATAATCTTGTAACTGTTTACATTAAAGAATATGACACAAGGCACAATTCATTGGCTAACTCACATTTTTACAACGAAAAAACTACGCAATATTATAACTTTTCATAAAATATGGCACATCGTTTTTTTTCAAAAATTACAAAGAAGGCAAAATATTTATAATTTCAAAAATTTTAAATTACAGTCAAGATAATCTAAAGCCAAGATTTAATTTCATGCTACAAGTTTATTCTGTATTATGTTTGTTTATTTGTTTGTTTTTCGTTTTGTAAAGATGTATTCTGTTTATTTCTCTTATGATTTCCAAAAACTCCTGCTGACAACAGGCAGGGATGAACCCAAATATTTTTTGTTGTAAATTTATATGTAAGGTTCATTCTTGCAAATAAAATTATTTATTAGTGTATTGATAATCGTTTTTTGTCATTGTAGGGCTTTGTGAAAGACTAAATATACAGCCGAAAGCTTGGCAATAAAACAAAACCTTGCTGTTTATCTTGACCACAAACTCGATAACGTAGAGCATTAAAAGAATTTCAAACTCTTGCTTATTTACACTGTTATCAAAATTATATAAACCTCTAAGGAAACGGGATGGATTTGAACTTGGCGAGAACCTCGACCTAGTTCACTCCGAGCAACCGAACAAATCTTTTAATTAGAGTAGTCAAATTGTTTTAAAGGAGTACAAATATATTTGTTTGTTATATTTATCACAATCTTCAGGTATTCGGTCATTAATTACAGCCTTTTCCCTAATGTGAATTGAGTGATTGACGTTAGTTTATTCCTGCCGAAATTAAACCAATTTTTTTTAAAAATCTATTATAGTTCGTGGTCCTATTGACCGAATAACTTTTTTCAAACAATTAATCTTTATGTAAGGTATTGGTTGAGATAAAAAAGCAAGTGCCAAGACGGATTTCGAACCCACGACCTTCGGGTAAATACGCCGCTACTCGGAAGTTAGTATACGAGTTGATCGAAGTCAAGATAGCGGCGTATTTACCCGAAGGTCGTGGGTTCGAATCTCGCTCGTGGCACTTACTTTTTTATCTCAACCAATGCCTAACATAAAAATTAATTAATTGAAAAAAAGTTATTCGGTCAATTGGACCACGAACTCTAATGGATTTAATCTGTAAAATGAAGTATACCTTCACTGAAGCTCTCCTTGGCCAGAATCGACGAGATTAGAGGATATTTCAAAAATGCAAAAAAAGAGGGTTGTCAGAGTAGATGGCGCAACCTCAGGGTTATAAGTAGGGCGGGGCAAGTCACCGATTCAATTTACGCTGATTTTACTTGTACTGATGGGGAACGAATCCTTCTTTCATTTGATTTTTTTTTGGCAATGTTTCTACTAATGTGTGGTGATTAGTGAGCGTTAGTCGATGATTATTCAGAAATCGTAAGATGTGGTCTGGTGTGATGTAGGTTGTGCAAGGTTTTGGTTGAAATGAAAAAGTCACGAGCGGGATTCGAACCCACAAGGTTGTAGGTTGAGATGGGAAGTTAGTGTCCGAGTGGATCGAAGTTACGATAGCCCAAGTGGTAGAGCAGTTGCGTATTTACCCGAAGGTCGTGGGTTTTTTTATCTCAACCAATACCTTACGTAAAAGATTTTTTTTTTTTAATTTATACTGTAATCACGAAATTCATTGCCGATGCGTCGAATCACTTCTAATACTAATGCTACAAACCATTGGAATACAAATAACAGTTATTTACCTTTATCCGTTCCTGCCAAGTCAATTGTAGCAAGTGCACCGAGTCAAGCGGTTCGCCCAACTCAGTCGCTATGACGACCGGACCAACCGCATCTGGTATACACGATCCCAGCACCTGCAATTGAACAAAATACATTGATCATTCCATATATAGTTCCATTTTAGTATACAACAAAACAATTTAAAAAAATGTGAATGAAAACATTAAAACCACGAACAGATGTTACAGTTCACTGTGATTTTACAATCAACCGTGTTTTCATTTTATTATGATTGTTTATTATCTTCTTAACGAAAAACTTTAAACATATGCAAAATAAACAACGAGAAAATATTCAACAAGAGCGTGAATGTTTGAACGCAGTCTGAATTTCATATTGACATACAGCAATGTCTCATTTTCATTATATTTTTTTCTCTACCTGTGTGTTTGTCTATCTAAATAGATTTGATTACCTCCAATTCTTCTCTCTTTATTTCACTTTACTCTAGCGTCCGTATTGTAATTGTTAATACTTACTCCTTGATCTCACCATCTTTGCCTAATTGGTCAAACCGATCTGTTCTTATCTACCTAATTATTTTTCCATTTTTCTTTCTTTCTTGTAAACGGACATTCACGTCTCTCGTTTTAAAAAGATAGTTCCTACTCACAGTTTGTTTTCCAGCGATCTGGATTTCGAGCTTTTAGCTCATCATCAGGTTGAAGGAGTTCTACAACCACGCCCCTCGACATGAATTGCAAAACAAACCCGTCGAAACCCCGTCAACACGACGTTCCAGTGAGAAGCTGGTTTTTAATGCTGCTCAATTTTGAACGTGCGAAAAGCGGCAATTATAACAAACGTAATTATTATATTAGTAAATACTGTAATTATTTATTTTATTTTCTATTTTTACATATATTAATTTTTCTATATGTTATTATTTATATTTTTTATTTTCTATTTATACATATATTAATTTTTCCATATGTTATTATTTATATTTTTTATTTTCTATTTATACATATATTAATTTTTCCATATGTAATCTATCTATTTCTCTCTCACTCTCTTTCTTTTTATCTTTCCTTTTCTTTTACATTATCTCCCCCCTTCTATCTATCTTCTTCCTCTTTTCTNGTCTCTCTCTCTCTCTCTCTCTCTCTCTCTCTCTCTCTCTCTCTCTCTGTCTTTCTCTCATTCATTCTCTCAAACACCCTTCATCTCTCAGAGATCTCTTCCATCAAATACAAAATCATATAATTGTACAAGGTTTTTTATAGACTTTTAAAGTTAGACGTAGGATAGTTTATTTTTGTCGTTAAATACAATGAATTAAAACTTCAATGCTTGACGCAATCTGTCTATTTTTACAAATAGTAATTTAATTTCCCCCTCTCACTCTTTTTATCTTTCCTACTCTTTCACTTTTTCCTCCTCTTTCTATCTTCTACCTCTTTTCTTTTTTTTATTATCCTGTCATTCTCTCTCTCTCACTCTCTCTCTCTCTTTTTCTCTCTCTCTTTCTCTCTCTCTCACTCTCTCTCTTTTTTCTCTCTCTCTCTTTCTCTCTCTTTCTTGTTCTAACATCCTTATCATTATTTCTTCTTGCAGAGGATGCATCTATTGATCATTGTGTATGATTATTTTTAGTTTGGTTAGACGTTCGATCGTTTAGCTTTGTTGTTAAACACAATGAATTATAACTTCCCTCTGAGGAAATCGTTTTTATAAAACGGTTAAACGGTCCGGTAAAATAATTGTTGACCTGTGAGCGGAATACAGAACAATTGAATAGTGCTGATTGGGTGGTGATTAGGTCTTGGGATTGTGGTTAGGAGGAGGGATATGGCTCATTTGAAGTCAGAACACATCCTCCTCCTATTGTACCATAATCACTCCCGTCGCTTCTCTCTTCCATTTCCAACAACAAATTTCCCGGCAATTACACTTGGGAACAATCACAATATCGGCTCTATCGCATTTTCCCCTTATGAAATTCCCAAAGACACTTTCACGTTATATCATACATCAAATGTCAGATGGGCAAAAACGATTTCGTGACGTTGAGTCATTATCAACTTGTTCTATGTCGTACCGTAAACCCCTAGTTTCGGCAGTTTTATTTTCATATCTCATCTTAAGCTTTTCTAACTTTAACAGTTAATATCAATTTTTTACTATTAGTAAGGAAATTAATCTCTTATGTCCTAATAAAAACATTATATTAACCAGACAATTATGCAGTCCTAAAACAGAGAAGCCGCATGTTAAAATGTCCCAACAAAAATTTAGAATCAATCAAAAACCTCCAAAACCTGGGAAAACATAGGAACCTAACATAATTTTGTCCTTTGGCTGCCAGACAGACAAGAAAAAATTAAAAAAGTGAGGTAAAAGATAGATAGACAGAAGTTGAGAAAGAGAAAT